ATAGCACGCGTATCTAAATTAACAAACTTGATTTACCATCGCTCCATGTGATTGCTGTTGTAGTTCATCCTGTACAAACGTTATCAATACACATTTAATGGATGTTCTAGTGCACGTGCATTCTTCTGGTTACGTATGTCTAATACGTGGTTTATAGTAGTTATGTGTATTTTATAACTTTGGGAGTACGCTATTTATAAAAGACGCCGTTCTACATTATACGAAACATTGTTTGGTATTTTCTTATAGCAAGCTGTTATCTCTGTGAATCATTTAACTGGCTTAATGGAAGCATAGCATACGATGGCTGTTTAGTGCCATTTCGTGGTTTTGTGTTTTTTGCCCCGAAAAGACGAGAATTAAAAAACCGAAATTCTCATTGTTTCGTTTTTTCACCCCAAAACAACAAGAGTCAACCACATTTAATTCTATGTTGGTTCGTCTTTTCGCAAAAGACAAGATTTATCAAAACTCAACTCTCGCTGTTTCTTTTTTTGCAACAAAAAGACGAAAATTTACGAACCCGTATTCTCGTTGTTTCGTCTGCTCGCCTCAAAACAACGAGAATCAACCAAACTTAACTTTATGTTGTTTCGTCTTTTCGCAAAAGACGAGAAGCGAAAAACATGAATCAACAAAATTGAATTCAAGTTGTTTAGCCTTTTCGCAATAGAAAATCAACAAACCTTAAATCTCATTTTTCCGTTTTGTCGCCCCGAAACAGCGAGAATAACAAAACTTAATTTTCATGTTTTCCTCTGTTCGCCTTGAAAAGACGAGAGCTAACAAACCTTAATTGTCGTTGTTTCGTATTTTTTGACCGAAAAGACGAGAATTTATAAACTTTTATTCTTGTATTTTCGTTTTTCCTGCACCCTGAAAAGACAAAACACATTTCGTCTTTTCGGGACGCACAGACGAAACAACGAAACGACACAAATAAACCACCGTGATAGCATGTGAATAGAAAGGGTTAAAACAATTTCTGGCTAAATTGGCGATAGCTCACCGGTTTTTGCCCATTTCTCGAAACTTAGCTTAATGACGTGAAGCCCAGCGGCAAAAAGTGACATCATTATGAATAACGTTTCGTTCTACATGAAACAGAGTCTGAGGTTCTTCGTCTTTGATTAGACTAGGAAGACATTTAGCTAATTACAGTAGGCCCACAGCAGATACAGCGGTCATGTAGCGGTCATAACTTCAGTCCTCGTTGCATTCGTTTCTTTGCATTTCTAATCAAACTATTTGCCTCTCTTATCCAGCCTGTTGCCTTGGAGATCAGGTCCGTTTTGTCCTATTGATCTTGATAAAAGGCATCAGAGTGTCTAAGTGGAGCGTGTTGACAATGGAAAGCGGTGTTTGTTGTGATTTAGTCCACAAATATCTCTAATAACTACAGGCGCCCATTTCTCAGCACGTTTCAAAGCCCATAGGAAATCTCCTTTGGCGTCCAGACATTTCATTATCGGTCAAACTATTTGCATACCTAATATTGATCTGGCCCTTGTACATTTGCATAACAGATTTACATGCCAAATATAGTACAACATTTCAGTTGTATACCAAATAAAGCTCATGACCTTGTACTTAATCGTAAACCAAATATAGCATATTATCTTTAACTTTTAAAATGGAGTGTTTTCAACTGATGGCGATGGATTACTCCGTTAATGTTACAGGTGTAGGTAATTGTTAAACGTTATAAAAGACATTCGGTAAACCTCGTGAATTTTTCAAAAGTAATCAAAGACATTAAGTAAACCTCGTGACTTTTAGTATTAATATTAATAATAATTCGAGGTTCTTATATACCGGTTAATCACAACCTAGTTCGTAGGTCGTCTCAAAGCGGTTCACAAATTATTATCCGTGGTTAAAGGGCCTTTGCAACCAGCCAATATCTTTCTCAACTGCATTGGGAGCATACAGCCGGTGCTGCCATTTCGGTGCTCACAACTAGCATTCAAAAATTCTAGCACTGCTCAAACACATACTCATTTACAGCTGAGTAGATTGGAACAAGCGGAGTGAAGTATCTTGCACAGAGATACAACACATTGCCGTGCCGTGAATCGAACCCGCAACCCTTCGGTCACGAGCCTGGCGTCCTACCACTAGACTACCGTGCCTCCTTTTGAAAAATAGAAAACGAAAGTGGAATCAACTATGTCGGGGAAATCTGTTTTATCGATTAGCCGCAAATAATGACATTTTATATTTTCAGCGGACTGTAATACAATTGATAAACGTATTTAAAAGGTTATGTTCTTCTTTAAAACTACATATTGTATTTGGCAGTAATTTCAAATCTATTTATATCAATAATGATTTTAAAAAGTACACAACGTAACATTTAAAGAGTTCCTTACTGAGAACTAAGTCCTTGCGCGTAATCTCATGTTTTGTAGTTTGTCCAATGACAACCAATGAAAAAATAATCATTTTTTTATTTAATTGGCAACAGCTCGGGTGAAATGAAAACGGATTTCTAGAGGGACACGGCCTAAAAGTAAACATCCGCGTGATAAGTAACAAGTGACAAACAATGAAGGTGGTTATAATATAATGGTTGCATCGTAGTAATTATAATAAATATTAATTCGAGGTTCTTATATACCGCTTTATCACAACCTAGTTCGTAGGTCGTCTCAAAGCGGTTCACAAATTATTATCCTTGGTTATAAATCCTATGCGACAAGCCAATATCTTTCTCAACCCCATGGGGAGCACACATCCGGTGCTGCAGATAGCATTCAACAATTCTAGTACTGCCCAACCACGTACTCATTAACAGCTGAGTAGACTACTTGAACAAGCGGAGTAGAGTAACTTGTTCAAAGATATAGCACAGTGCCGTGACGCGACGCGACTTGAACCCGCAACCCTTCGGTCGCGAGCCCGGCGTCCTACCACTAGACTTCCGTGCCTCCCTTCGGTCACGAGCCCGGCGTCCTACCACTAGACTACCGTGCCTCCATAATGTTTAAACTTTTATGTTTTCACTCTATTCTTTTTAAAATGCATCATTATCCTTTATGAAATAGATGTATATACAAATTTAGTCCCTGGCCATGCTTTTTTAAATTCAAAGTTCAGTCCCTGTCGATGTATGTAATAACCAAAAGAATAGTTTTCAATTTTGATTAGGATAAGAGTTGATACTTTTAGTTTAGCGCGTGTATATTTGATAATAATGAAAAGAAAGAAAAAATGAATAAATTGATAAATATAATAGTCCCTGTCTTTGTGTTGCTGTATGAAATCATATATGTTTAAACATATTTTATTGCCAAAAAATGCAAGAGGATTGGGCNAAATCATATATCCTTGTCTATGTACGGTTTTTATTGTAGCGGAAATGGACTGGGTCGTTCGCTGGCGACCAGGTAGCTCAATTGGTATAGCGTCTGTGCAGAGTTAGGTGGGCCCCGGTTTCGAATCCTGGTCTGGCCGTACAATTTCGCAATGGGTACCCGAAACTGTGTCGTAAGTAGTGTTGTCTAAAGGGGCGAAGTCTTTGAAAGAGGGGAAGGAATGTAGCGGAACTGGACTGGGTCGTTCGCCGTCGATCAGGTAGCTCAATTCGTAGAGCATTCGTCTAGAGTTCGGAGGGTCCATGCAGGGTTCGAATCCTGGTCTGGCCGTGCTTTTTTCCTCTACTGTTACACCATAGAAATATAGTTCCCTGTCCTTTTATGGTTACATACAGACAAAGTCGCGGTCTATTTATAGTTATATGATACATATTGCCATTGTTCATAAATTATACAGTTATGATGCAGCTAAAGTATGGGCTTGAGGGATATAGCAAGTTTCTAGTTCCCTGAGACAAGGGTTATTTCCCGAGGCAAAGACTGAGAAATAATTCTAATCAATGGAAAATTGAAACTTGTTACATCCCAAAGTCCCAGTTTTGTTTAAATATACCGATAAAATGTAGGAACATTTTTAAAAGCAATTTTCTAACCGCAATTTCCGAAAACCTATCGAGTGGCATATCTTCTCCTTCGGCATTGTCGTCTGTGTTTTTTAATCAAGATCGATAACAATCAGGTCAGAACAATTCCCGTCCTCCTTTCTCCTGATTGGCTCTCCAATTATTAAAGAAAGATAAGGAAATTACCGAGGGATTTCGTCTGCACCCCTGTAGACTGTAGAGAGAGTTAGTCTGCAGGATTGTTTAGTTTCGGACTAACACACATATATATATATATATAGTAAAGTGAGGTACAATTGTCACTGTTTAGATACATAAAGGGATCTGTAGTATACAACAGTTTGAATTAATTTGTTTGATGCATATTTATGCATGAACGACCTGGGGTTTGCTTCCCCACATCGCTATAAATTATTGTATAGAGCCACGGTAGTCTAGTGGTAGGACGCCGGGCTCGTGACCGAACGGTCGCGTGTTCGAATCCCACTGTGTTGTATCCTTAACCAAGATAATTTACTGCGCTTGTTTCAGTCTACTGAACTGTAAAAGTGTTGAATGCTAGCTGTGCGTGTCTGAAATGGCAGTACCGACTATATGCTCTCCTGGGAAATGAGAACGATATTGGCTGGTTGCAAAGGCCCAATAGCCACGGATAACAATTTGTGAACCGCTTTGAGACGGCCTAGGTTGTGAAAAAGCGGCATATATGAACCTCAAATTATTTTTTATTATTATTTGTAATTTGGTATTCTGCTTTTTCCCCCCACTATATACCATTAACTTGTCCTGAATTCACTGTCCATGGAGATAGTCCTCTATCAGTCGTTTGTTAGTCCAAAAAACTAAAATGCCCCTGCAGACTTCCATTGCCTTAGCATCTAACAGCTCACTAGAGAGTATTTGTCTGGTGAAATGCTTGGGTATTTTTCCTGGTAGAATTTGCTGTTGGTCATTATGTTTGAGAGCGACCATATATATTAAATCAAACACATAATTGTCTGCTTGTATAGAAAAAATATATGCAAACCCCATTTTTAGCCTTAAGATAAAGTGCAGTAGAAATAACTGAAGCTTTATTATTGAATCTGGACATACATCAACATCACTGTCTATTTAGCCAGGCAGTTTATAAAATAGACTTATTTCGGACGTCAATTACACAGAAATGAGGGTGATATTGTTCATTTTGTAGATTGATATGACAGTTAGCGTATCAGACTGTACAATCCTCTCAGTATTACTCGATATCTAAGGGGAACATCCCATGTGGAGCGAATCAGTCCAGCAATAAGCTTACTTCGAGATTATAAATGACACCCACGCATGTCCTCTACGTCATCATTACGTCATAGCCTACACAGCCTTAACGAAATACGCCATACCTGCTATCGACGAGGTATATTCGTAAGTCTTGTCGTCAAAGATCACACACGTGGCGGATGTCAAGCGGTTGTAATAGAAAGAGCGACACACGGCCAACCTCTGACAAACACTGGCACAATGTAAGGCGCTTCTCGCGTGCACCGTCTTGAGTGGGGCTCCCGAGGGTCCAGCGTCCCCATCGCCCGTCCAGCGAAGGAACTTGCCACTGACTGCAACATAAATCATGTCGATATCTTCATAATGTACCGAATTAATTGTGGTTTGGAAATTTGTAGTATATTTTATTCAAAAAGCAGCTCACAATCCAAATTGATCAATTATCTCTAACGCACGTGTCGCTTATATAAAATGATATGCATGAATAACGCAGAAAGACATATAGATTATTATTAGTTATATCTAATAGTATATAGTTGTCATCTTGAAGTTGTTTTGCAGGGTATTGCCATAGGGACCTGAGAATTTGTTACAGCTATATTTGGACCTAAATTAAGGTGTTCCGAGAAATTTTACTCGTTTTAGGGGTCTAGGATCGACTTTCGGTAAAAATGGCACCCCCAATGATCATATGTATGTAAACTTACTCTGAACACCTTAGTTTAGGTCCAAACATAGCTGTAACACATTCTCAGGTCCCTGTGGGTTTAGCTTCATGCAAATATTCAAATGTTGTTTTGTTATCTCTCTCTCTCCCTCTCTCTCTCTCTCTCTATATATATGGGCCAAAGATGTAATATAGACGGTAAAATCCCATATAACACTGGATCCTAATGGAGATATGTCCGTAGGATACGAATGGTTATCATTTGGCGGGTCGTCGTTGTGTTGCATTGGGCGAGTCGTCTTAGTTCAAGTTCAAGTTCTTTATTAACTTTGAGTCTTGCGACTCATCAGTGTAACACATATACATGATATATATATATATATATATATATATATATA